AAACTCACATGATTTGGGAAAGTAAAGGTGGCTGGGTATTGTGCTGACCACACTATCCCTTATGTTCTCAATGTCTCATACACTCATACTCATACAAGCAAGTCAATAAGACATAAGACCCCTAACTGCCCTACTATAGTAACAGTCTCAGAGGTTGATGGTACAGCAATAACATTTTGTAACAAAGAAACAGATAGGTCTAGATCTAGATCTATATAGATCTATGTAAAATACTAGATCTAGAGAGACCTATATATTATATAAAATATAAAAAAATCAAGTAGGCCTATCATCACAATTTCACACACAATCACCTGTTTTATTTGACAATTCGTCGAATATTTCAATAGAAATAGAATAGATCTCCACACCGGGCTCTCCAGACTAGCGTAGCTGCAGTGTAGTAGTAATAGTAATCCACTATTTATTTACGTTAGACTACAGCCTATTACTAGATCCAGCTTTAAAAATCTAGATCTAGATTATTCTAGATCTAGATTAGATCTATTCTAAACTAAACACTATTTCTACAAATCCAAGCCGTATCGGCTACATTAAAATAAACAATGTCTCAATGTGTGTTAATAATTAATATAAACAAAAGAAGTAAAGTATAGGCTAGTCCTAGCAGTCTATAAATCTACACAGTAACTATAACCGTTGCTAAGGTCAAAGTCGAAATGTTAAGTAGAAAAGTGAAAGTAATATTGCAATAGACCAACTTTATTCATTTAATAGACTAATATGTTAAGTTTAAAATTAGTCAGTAGTTGTTATACCTAGCACTATAATGTATTTTATAAATTGTTTGAGCTCCTGCAACTTTTTAACTGAACAGAAGGCCTAAAAAAGTTTTGTAAGCCAACGCGTAGGTTGAATCAGTTTCTTTCATAGTTTCGGACCCCTCCCCCCTACCGGAATCAGTGGCGTAGGCAGGGGGGTTAGGGGGGGGGGGTCATAACCCCCCCCCCCCCATAGACTCCTCGGTATATAGAAAAAGTATGAGGGGGGGTGCAAATCGAAAGTTTGAGGGGGAGGGTGCAAATCGAAAGTTTGTCCCCGGGTAAAAATTGCCCCCCCCCCCCCCCCTTGAGACGATCCTGGCTACGCCACTGACCGGAATCACTTCTATCTACCTCCATACGAAATAAATAGAATTTTTATACGACATATAGCCCGTAGAGCCTACTTTAACCAGTACCCCCCCCCCCCCCCCCTGCAATTTTAATTCTGCCCCCTAAAATTTTTGTTTCCCTGAGAAGAACAATCATAAAGAAACACTGACTTGAATATGTTCGTTACGTTTTGGTTAGTTTAGGTCTGTAATAAATAATACAACACCAGAGGCGTAGCGAGATGGGCGGGGGTACATATGTCCCCGGGTGCCGACCTTAGGGGGCGCCAAAATGGGTTGTAAAAACAAATTAAAATCTGCAGTTTTGTATTATAAATATAAAAAATATATATGGGGGGTGCAAATTGAAAGTTTGAGGGGGGGGGGGGTGCTAATTGAAAGTTTTGAGGTGGGGGGATCTGAATGTTTGAGGGTGGGGTGCAAATTGAAAATTGAAAGGTTATTCCCGAGGGTGGTGCAAAATTGAAAGTTTGTCCCCGGGCGCTGGGAAGGGTCGCTACGCCTCTGTACAATACTGGTTACTACATTATAAAAGCTCGACTGACACTGCCCTGTAGTAGTTTAAGTCACATTGTTATTCTTTATTTTAAAGATTCTAGTAGGCCTTGTACAATATGTAGTAGGCTTAGTTACGCTGTGGTCTACGGCACTGTAGGCCCTCATCATTTAAGCAGACTTCTAATCAACTCAAAGTTTACCCAAAGCTGAGATTCACTATTGAATACTATTGATGACTTCAACAGTGTTTCTTCCAGACTTTTTTCTCCGGGGGGGGGGGGGGGCACTTGATATTTTCGGGGGGGGGGGGGGGGCGGTCAACATTTTTTTTTGGGGGGGGGGGGGGGACGGACACTAATAAAAGTGTATGTTTACTATATAAATTCCATCTCGTTCGGGGGGGGGGGCGGTAGACTTTCTTCGGGAAACTTTGGACTTCAATGAAACTAATATAAATTTAATATCAAACATTGCACGCCTACTAGATATAGGATTTTTTTTCTTTTAAAAGAACCATTCAGTGTAAGGGTCATAACCCAAGTTAACTACATGCATCAACAAAACGAAAGATTATCTGCAGTTACTTACCTTGTAATGTAGTACGATGTAAATAAGGAATTGGTTTAAAATTGCAATTCAAAAATTGTTTAAGGAAAAATACGATGCTATTAAGATTGTAAGTTATTTTCGATAACTAGTGGCCTACCTGACACTGATCTAGACTTACAGTTTCGTTTTAGGCTTAGCGTGCTGTGAAAATCATTATCTGAAAGATCTTCTTGATAGTTACATGGGTACGGAAAGGCTATCATAAATAGGTTTGGGTTTGGAGTGGTAGTTTATCATTTTGTTATATTGTGTTATGTGGTTGAGAAGCGTGCTTAGCCTTTATAGGCCTACAATAAAACTTTTGGTTTTATTCATGTTATGAAAAAAAAGTTTTATTTGTGTTTTTTTTTCTCATACATTAGATCCTAGACCTACACACAGTGGTGGTTTAGTAAATTGTTTCTATAACTAATAAAATATGTTTGGTCATGGCATGGCTGAGTAGTAGTGCCCACGACAATTAAACTGAAAATCTCGAGTTCGTATCCCGGATTCTTAATACTGCAAGCTTAGAGCCAGGGGCGGAACTACAGTGCCGCCAGACCCCGCAATGCGGGGGGGCCCACGACGTTTAGGGGCCCAATTCCGACCAAAAAAACAATGAATTTTTTTTTTATAAAAAATGTTTTTTGTGCACCTTGATTGTAGTTTTTTAAAAATAATAACAGGTCTACTGTAGCAGTGATTGTTCTACAGTAACTAACACACACTGTTGCGTAGAAAAATATAAAATCTACAAGAGCTCTACTTTTAAAGATAGACAAACGTTTACACTACTTCCATGACTTACTGCCCTTCATCAAAACACGGGTGCCCATAGAGCTCATTTAATTAGTTTTGTACTATGTAAATTAAAGAGCCATTTATTCTCTTAATTATTATTTAAATAAGGCATATTAAAGAATCCTATAGCTATAAAAATGAATGTATTTAAAACTAATAATATAAATACAAAAAAATCATAAAAATAAACATAACGCGAGAAACCATTTCAAAATCAAGCTTACGTGTTTATATAATTTTGACCAGACAGCAATGTTGTCACAATTGTCGGTAAACATAAAGACGTAATACAAACATTTGTAAAACACGATTATTGCGGGCCCGAAATGAGTTCGGACTTCTTGTTGTCTGGTTCAGGGGTCGGCAACCTGAGGCTCGCGAGCCGCATGCGGCTCTTTTGATATCAAGATGCGGCTCTCCAGCTCCTTGAACAAATACTAATAATCTTAAGCAAAAAATAAAACATTTGAAATAAAAAAAAATTTAATGGCTCTTTAAAACCAGGGAAATTTTGAAAATTGTAACTTTTGGCTCTTCCGCTTCAAAAGGTTGCCGACCCCTGGACTCTGGTTCGTTATCTCAGAGTGGTTATACATTGCAATAAAATAGATTAAAATACCCAGGTAATAGACTATTTAAAATTTTAAGAAGCGGGCTACTTATATATATGTATGTATGTATGTATGTATGTATGTATGTATGTATGTATGTATGTATGTATATATATATATATATACATATAGGGGGGCCCAAAAAAATTTTTTGCGGGGGAGCCTTTTTTTTCTAGTTCCGCCACTGCTTAGAGCCCCTAAAACCAGACAATGCCGCTCTAATCGTAGCACTTTTCCCTTAACACAGTTAAATTCCCTCACCACTGTTAAATTCCCTTAGCACTGTTTAATTCCCTCAGCGCTGTTAAATTCCCTAGCACTGTTGAATTCCCTTAGCACTGTTAAATCTCCTTAGCTTATACTGCCACCGACTCCACCAAAACATTACCCCTATAACCTGACCCTGAGCTAGGTCCTCCACCAGTCCAGTGGTAACCCCTCATATTGTATCGTGTATATCTTCAGAATCTTCTGGGTCTTCACCATTTTCCCCTACTGATGATTCTAGTGAGGGCCGTTTTGATGTGCCAGACATAAGCTCCTGTAAGTAATTAAGCCTTCTCCACCATCTCTATTTTTCTCAGAGAATATTTACCCATGCTAGACTTGATTGAGAAAATCCTGGAGGACTTTTGAAAGTGAAGCGAGGGCTGCAGGGATTACATTGGCCTCAGTCAAACATGGTGTCAGTTGTCTAATTTGCTGCATTAGTTAGTGAGCGTGACACGCGCTTGGGTGAAACCCCCAGGGGAAGCGGAAAAGAGGGCGCTCAAAACAGACCTGGAGGCGGAGTCTTCTCGAAGAACTGAAGCCAACAGGGATGTCTTGGGAGATGGCAAAATTAATAGCCGGGGATCGGAAGAAATGGAAGGAAATGGTGGAGGCCCTATGTTCCACGGGGGAAGAGAAAGTACTAAGTAAGTAGTTAGTGAGTACGATTTTGAACCTTATGGTCCATGGAACAGGCGAAACAGTTCACCTGTCTCAGTGACCACGGCATGTGAAGTTATAGTGTAGTCAGCACCATGCCCAGCTACCTTTTGCTTTCCTCAACATGAGTCAGCTACCCATCCCAGCATAGACGTCTTACATAGTAAAGCAAGGGTCCGAACTAGAGACTTCATGTTAGTAGTTGAACGTCCTGTTACCTTAGTAGGGCCAGCAAACACAATGCATTAAGAGACATGTTATTATATTTCCTTTATATTTAATACAAAGAATGTTCATACCTCTGCTACACCAAGCGAAGATGCCTTCACTGATGTGTCTAAGATTCTTAAATTTTATCTAATCTCAGTTTTTATGAACACATTTTTTTTTTAAACACAAACTATTAGTTGAATTTATAAAGAAGAAAACAAGAATATGTTATTATATTTTATTGCCAATATTTACAGTTTGTTATAGTAAAGAAATGTAATACAAGAACATGTGTGAATTTTAAAATTAATTTGTAACATGGAAGGAAATTTGTAAACAACTTTTTAAAATTTCAACTTCACTAAAAAAAAACAATTAAAACTGATCTCTCATTTATGAATACTCATAATTTGATGATCAGATTTTACAAAATCTTGTACATTAATCAAATCACCAAGCATAAATCTCGAGCAGACTATGCCTGCTTCTGAAATGCTTTTACAAACTCTAACAGCACAAGAACAATGTCAAGTTACAAATGTCAAGTTACAAATGTCAAGTTACAAATGTCAAGTTACAAATGTCAAGTTACAACATGGAGTAATAATTTATGCAGCAGGTTTGTCCAATCTATTGTACACTTTAATTAGACTTCTTCAAAATCTCAATAGTTGTAGCCTATATAAACCTATTTTTTAAAGTTAGCAAGCATATTGCAACAAGCACATTGATAATTATAAGTAAAAAGTTATTAGTTAATGTTCATGTTAATTAATGAATTGAAATAATAGCTGTACATTTTAATTTTTGAGTTTAACTTTAGTTTTGGGCGATAAATATTTTATTTTCATTTGCCTCAATTGTTTTATTTTTGCAATTTGTTTTTTAGCTGAATAAAATATTTAGGACAATGTTAAAATAATGATAAAATAATGATAAATATTTACCAATAAGGCTGAACTGGTAACAAAAATAAAAAGAAAAGTAATCAACAGCTAATTAAATCACAATTTCAGTTTTAAAAAGTGAAAACTATTACTATACTAGGACTATTTGCTTTTAAAAAACTATTGTATTTTAACCTAATTAAAAACCTAAAATGTGTTAAAATGATAGTCAAAATGTTAAAATGTGCAACTTGTCATACAATACAAAATATCCATGGTAAATACTAGTAGTTATTAAATTTTTTACTTAATTTAATTAAATAATTTTAAAGAAATTTAAATTTAGTTAAAAACTTCCTTTTAACAACAAAGTATAAATGTAACAGAATATTTTGTTAACTAAAAAAATATTAACAAAGTAAGGCAATATGTTATGTAATAAAAGAAATTGGTAAAATAAAATACCCATAATTTCAAAATATCTCAATTATTAATAAAAAAAAAAAATCTCTCACTATTATGTCAATGCAATCAATGTTTTTTCACCCAGTGTAAATTCATCAAAATTACATTTCTATTTCTGTATTGTATCTACGGTTTATCTAAATCCTTGTATTAACAGTTATTCATATCTTCTATCTAATCCCCCATTGCACCACATGAAAATCTACAACATATCTACCCAGATAAAAAACTAAAACAACAGATACAAAACAAAATATGTTAATGTACATATACTCCCAGTTCTCAGTACTGTTAATTAATATACAGCAGAAGTATTTAGCATACAAAAATATCGTTACAAGAGCAATCTATTTACAATGTTTTATATCTAACAATTGTAATAATTGGTCCATTATTGCATAATTAAACTTTTCCCCTTTGAAATTAATTTTTAAATTCAATTTTTGAGGAGAAGTTCATCATAGCAGAAAATGACAGTAGAAATTGTGTAACAACATTGTAATGTATAGCAATAGACAATCGATAATAAACTAAATGAATAAAAAGTTATTTTCTAAAGAGTACCAGCTTCTCTTTGAATTAAACAGTGAAATGGTTGAAAGGAAATGGAATGTTAGTAGAATATGAAAATTAAAAACCTAAAATAAATTCAAAATCTTAATTAAAAAAATTGAATTAAAACAATGACTAGATATGATAAATGTTTTAAATGCAACATCCTCTGAAAAAATTTAATTTACTTTATTCAAAACTAAATGCTAGATTTAAAAATAATGAGTGCCTCAATCAAAACTAAATGCTACACATTTTTTTAAAAAGCTGTTATAAAATGTAACAGCTCTTCGTGTGATTAGTATATTTTTTTTACAATTGTGTTAGTAGTTCTATTCCTCCAGGAAAAATGCTATCAACAAAGCTTAAGCTAAAGTAGAAAAAAGTATAGTTTAGCCTTCAGATAAAACATCTGTAGTTTTAGGTGCTATTGATATATGGCAAGAATACAAAGCTGAATATGTACACAAGACAGCTGTTCATTTTTTAAAAGTTAAAGTTTAAGAATATCGTGGTATGCTTTGTTATGTATTTTATTTTGGAAAAAAAAAAATTCTCGATTCAGCTCAGACAAAAGCCAGGCTAAACTAAACTCTTTAAAATTGTGTATGTTTTTCAGTTTTAGCTAAACAGATTATGATAAATAAACCAACACAATAAACCCTAGAGAAAGAATACTGAACACAAAAATTATTTAATGGGTAAAAGACTAGAAAAAGAAATCTAAAAATAAATAACGTCCCTCAAACAAATAACATACGCATTAATTAAACATTCTTTTAAGACGTTTAAAACAACATTGTCAAAATGCCACAGGGTCAATTCAAAAGTAAAATTTAATTACAAAATAAAAAAGTTATGTATTCTCTTTCAACTTTCTATTGATTTAATATAAAGTTATTAATCTTAAAATTCATTAACCTTTTAGAATTTTACTTCAAACAAAATTCCCTAGATCTCTGTTGAACCACATATAAATTCCAAATTCTCCCTTTAGACACTATTAATATTATAACTGGCACATTATTTGCAACCAATTAATTTCTATTCTATATTTGTCAAAATATCTGTCAATAGATTCCAATAGTTTACTATAACTATAATGCTACATTTTATAGGACATAACTAATGAGCAGGGCAAATCATTACCATTAATTATTTGAATACACAGACAAATTAAATTTTAAAAATAAATGCAAATTAAATTGGGAATAGGCCATCAAATAACTAATAACATAGTAGATGGTTATACTCCAACCTTTTGTATTCCAACAAACAAAGGTTATATTTAGAAAACAAATTTAAGCATGAATGTTTTCACTAAAAAAATCTGGCACTCCATGAGCTGTAAGCACAGACTAAAATGCCCATGCCAGTTTGGCTGTTGGTATGATATCTGCTACTGTCAATATTTACACACTTTTTTGTGTAACCATTGGGGTTTAAAGAACTCCACACTTGTTCCGTGGTTGTCCCATCTTTATATGGGAGGCTGAAAAATTCTATTGGGGTTAAAATATTCCACTGGAGGCTCAAAAATTCTACTGGGAAGTTAAAATATTCCACTGAATTGGAGGCTAAAAAATTCAACTACACATTGTCAAAATATCAATGCTGATGTCAATAAATAATTCATCCCATGCATGGTATGGGGAAACAGAACAATACAAGATGTTTGTAGTTTATCAACTTATCAAATTATTTTTAAGGACTTGTTAGTAACTTTTTTCTAAAATTTCTTCCATCAAATAAATCTTACTTTGATTGTTGACTTAACCTATCACAATCTTTCCAAAGTGAAATGACTTTATCAAAAGATTTTAAATGTTTATGTAGGCTAAAAGTTCAAAGTATTTGAAGTATGATGAAGTGAGTAGAACCTCACTAAAGGTGAAAACACATTTCTTACACCAAATTTACATAGCACACTGTTGTAATCAACCAACACAAGGTATGCAAGCGATGAATTTTTAAAATGTTTTTTTTTTAAAACAACATCATATCAACAGGTTTGGTACTTCTTGGTGTCTGGTTGTGTCAAAGAATGTCAGATTTCCCGGACTGCTGAGAGATGCTTCTCTGGTAACCTTTGCCGTTTGGTTTTAAAGAATGGTTTTTGGTTGCCGTGGAGAACTCGTATATCCCAGAGGCTCTCTCACTGAACTCTGACCTCGTGTCAAATTCTTCATCTGTCGAGTGATTCCTCCAACTTAAGTAGCCACCTGAAAAGGTTAGAAATTTTGTTTTAATTTTTTTAGAAATTTCATGTTTAACTGGAATGTAACAATAGTCATCTTTTAAACTGACATTCACCCATGGGCAGATGAGGTAGCGTTCTGTTTTTTGAGTATGACATGTAAACAGGGGCCGAACTACAGTGCCGCCAGACCCCGCAATGCGGGGGGGGGGGGCCCACGCCATTTAGGGGCCCATGGCCGACCATACAAAAAATTGTTATAGTTAAAAAAAATGTTCTTGCATTTTTGACTTAATGTTTGTTTTGTAAAAAAGATTACCGTGGCTGCGGTTGGATTATCTTTATTCTATAGGCACCACCCCACGCTCATTTTTCCTTCGTTTTAATTTTAAACCACTGTGAAAGCCGAGTCCTCTTTCTCCTACAATGAAACTTATCAAAGATAAGCAAACGTTCAAACCACTTCCATGACTTATTTCCCTTTTTTAAATATGGGGGGGGGGCCTAAAAAAAATGTTGCGGGGTGGCCCCTTTTTTCTAGTTCCGCCACTGCATGTAAAGGAATAGTCTGATCAGCACTATGCCCAACTATACTAAACTTGCATTAACTTGAGCCACATAATTGTTAGAGTTGAGTGGACTCAAAGTTCCAAAACTGGGTTAGCAGTCTAGTGCTCTGCTGCCAAGCCACTTTCTCCCCCTCTCCACCATCCCACTTAAATCATATGTAATACAGACATTTATTTGAAAAATCCTAAGATTTCTCTCACAGATATAGAAAAATATACAAATTAAATGTTAATTTTGTTAATTCTCCAAAAGTTAACTCACTTTAACTATTTCTTCAGTTAGTTTTCTAGTTAGAAAATTGTCAGTTCATTATTTTTTTTTATTCCGTTTCTCTTGGCAACCTTACTTAGAGCAAAGTTAGCCTATAATGTTAAGTGACCAACAGACTGACCATTAATCAATTTATTTCTATGCAAAAGCTTAAATCAAAGCTAACCTATAATGTTAAGTAACCAATAGAATGACCATTATTCATTAATTTATTTCTATACTTAAAGCAAAATTAACCCTTCATATTAAGTGACTAAATAGACTGACCATTGTTCATTAATTATTTTCTACACTTAAAGCAAAATTAACCCATCATGTTAAATGACCCACAGATTAAAAAACAACTAAGACAGCCACTGACCTATAGAGATGAAGATAAACAGGAGCCCCCCTGAGCCAGGTAGGGCTGGAGCCCACAACAGCTCATAGATTTGCTCTTCAATCATTGTGACAAAAATTATGACACCTATACCAGCAGAGACACCTGGTGGAAGAGAAGAATGTAAACATTAAACACACACTGTGGCAACATTTTAGTTAGGTATACTGATACTACATAGCTGTTTAAATAATTTAAAAGATGGATTCTCCAATTTAAAAAGATATGATTAAAGATAATGATGTTTAAGTTAACATCTTCAAATAAGATTTAGACTAGTTTAGGTATAATGGTGTTTTAAGTAATATCTTTAAATATAATGGTGATTACGTTAATATATTCATATATAATGTGTTTGTGTTAATATATTAAGATATGTGTTTATGTTAATGTATTTAAATATAATAATGATTATGTAAATGTATTTACATATAATGTATTTTATGTTGAAACGCTCAAAGATGATCTTAATGTTAACATCTTTAAAGTCAACTTGATTGTACTCTCATATGCACTGCATTTTCTAAAGACACCAGACAGACTAGTCAGGTACCCATTAAAGCTGGGTAGGCTCAGAGATGTTATTTAAACAAGCTAGGCACCTGTGTTGACTTAACAGTACAATATGAGGTAGAATTTAAGAAATGGTTTAATTACAGAATGTAAAATGGAAATATATGCCAGGAACCGAATTTAGCTGAGTACATACCTGAGACAGCGGCAAACGTCAGATATGCTGCCTTGACGTGAATCCGCCGCCATGTTGGGCGTAGCACCAGGAGAATGATTTTAACGATGTAGATGATGATGCAGATGAAACCGGTGATGGTTGAAGGGATGATGAACGCTCTCACCACGAACAGTAACGACGGCACCTCGGTGAAATCTGCAAAGGGAAACAACACGATTAAAATAACTTGAAATAAGAAAGCACTAGTTGCCTCCCTCTAAAAGCAATTGTATGCGCAATGTGATTTGAATTCACGTGTTGCATTTGGCAAGTCTTTAAAAAATACGCCACAGTACCTTTAGTTCGTAATGATACAATAATTATTAAAATTGTTTTAAAATAGCGCTATTACTATTCAAATACGGATGGTTATAATTGTAGATAAATAGATAATAGAGTGGTATAATAGCGTGGTACTATTAACCCATCATTATAACACACATTTTTGATAGCCTTCAGATGCTAAAAACACTAACACAAATATAGAAAGAGATAGTTATAACCACTTAATCTGCGTAGCCTAGACTAGGCTAGTCGTACTCTTTTTATCACAACACACACAATAACCCACGGCATACTAATCTCAAGTCTAAACTAAACCAAACACGTTGACGCCTATTGGGCCAACGTTATAATCATATCCAGAGGAGTAGCGACCCTTCCCGGCGCCCGGGGACAAAATTTCGATTTGCAATCACCCCTCAAACTTTCGATTCGCACCCCCCCCCCTTCCTCGAACTTTTGATTTGCGCACCCCCCCCCCCCCCCCCGTCAAACTTTCAATTTGTTTTTGAAACCCATTTTGGCGACCCCCCCCCCCCAAGGTCGGCGCCCGGGGACATATGTCCCCCCACCCCCCTCGCTACGCCTCTGATCATATCTCATGTTGGGCCGTTGCACTCCCGTTTTGGGTGATTCCTCCAAGTTGGGTCCATGACATTCCGAGTGTTTCTGCTTCACAAACAACGGATTTTTGCCAAGTTAGTTTTGGACATGGGGAACTACCTTTAATGTTTGTTATATTCATATTAAGTAGAGTTCATCTGTTTCAGAGACCTCGGTGTATTGAGAGGGCTAGTTTATACCTGTGATTACAGCTGCGTTTATTTGTAATATTTCTAAGGGAGGGGAGGGGGGGGGGAAATCAACGCATGCAATCTTAGTTGAAAGTAGCAAAAATTATTGCATACTTAGTCCCCTGTAGTACGTTCATACCTATTGAATCGCATGCACTTGCAAACACACACATACACACACACAAACACACACATACACACGGACGTTGATGCTAACGCACTGATCAGAATGTAACAAAAAAAAAACTTTAGAAATAATTTCAATAGCCGTCTATCACAAACACTTGATTTAAAAAGAAACAAATTTTAAAAATTTTAAATAAATAAAAAGTCGAAACGGTCTGATGCCAATCAGCCGGTCAGGGCTGGGCTAATGTTTTTATTTCCAGGGATATCCGGTCCGGCTTCCGGTTGAAATGGCTACTATCAAGGTATCAAAGTCGGTAGCGACAGCTAGCGGGCGCTTCCGGTGATTGGAAATAACGTGCGGGTGGTTTCTGTACCGGGGGAGAAGAAATCACACACACACACATCCCCCCACACACTCACATACACACACACTCTCACACACACACATCCCACACACACACTCACACACACATACACACACTCACACACACACACATCCCCACACACCATTTCACACAAACTCGCACACAGACGGAGTGGTCTAATGGTAGAGAGCTGGACTACTAACCCGTAAGTTTCGAGTTCGAATCCGGGTTCAAGTCAGTAGACCGTCCCTGAGTCCACCCAACTCTGATGGGTACCTAACTCACGTTAGGGAAAGTAAAGGCGGCTGTGCATAGTGAACTCTACTTCACTATAGACCGTCAGGTTTGAAAAGGAACTTTCGCACACTGACACTTGGACACATACCTCTATAGAAACATGCTAAATGCTAATTTAAAAAAAAATGCACTTGAAAAACATGGGGGCTTTCAATGTAAAAAAAAACATAAACGTGTTCTATGGTCATTTCAAAGGTGATCGCTTTGAAGTTGAGGTGACATGGGTTAGGGGTTAAAATCAGATATTATGTGACTTTTTTTTTTTAAAGACCCATCAGCCATCGAAAATTGTGCGAAATCAAGAAAAATCGTAAAAAGATATTTATTAAACCGGTATTAGCCAATAACAGAAACGAAAAATTATTTTAAAAAATGGTCCAATATTCATCCCATTCAGCCCCCCCCCCCCCCCCACACACACACACAAGTGAAACGCGAAATTGTCGTCTAATCTCATGGCCCACAGTAACAAAGCTAAAGTCAGCGATTCTATCCTAGCTTCGATCCCGATCATTTTCGGCTCACCTCGAAAATTATATCGGCTCGTGACGTCATCAACTCATTGACAGGTAAGGACGGCAGTTAAGGCTGGGGGGGGGGGGGGGGGTAGTGCGGGATAAGGGGATTCTGAAAGAAGTGAGTTTAATATTGTGTTTATGATGAATTTTTTTTGGTATCGAATTGATAGGTACCATTAGCTGAATATAATTTATGTAGCGTATTAATATTTAAAAGGGGGTGGGAGAAACAAGACCTCAATAAAAACACTTTTAAAATATAGCTGAATAAACTAAACAATAACAATAATGAGCCTAGTGGTTGTTGTTGTAATGGCTCTTTCGTCAATCAATTTTTGTTTTACATAAAAGGAAGTAGTGTACATGCAGTCTCTAAGTTTTAATAGATAATGTTTAAGTCACATGCAGTAGCAAAACTCGGGCCAATAATTGGGAGTTTTCCCACACACAAAAATTATAATAATAAATAAAAAACGGTAAATTATAGCCTTTTATTTTACTTTTTAAAAAATCTAGACGTGTCTATTAATGTTCAACTAATAATGATATATATTGTTTATGTTAATGAGACTTTTTCTTCTTCTTCGTCGTTCTTAATTTTTAGTGTTGGAGGGGATCGAGCCATATCTGCCAGAGTGTTTGAACTCGAGACTTTTTCGAATTTATCAACCATTAGCTTTTTGTCTTATGAGACGAATATGCTAGGCAGACTTCACATAAACAGTCAGGCATCTTGAGTATAAAAGAGATGTATAGATGGCCAACGTCCCTATGTTGCATTTTTAATCAGGACATAAACGCGAACGTATAGGGAGAACGTAAAAACAACGTCTCAAGTGCCATACTAGCGTCGTGTTAAAATATTGACAACTTTTATTGCCACGGCGATAGAACGATAACCGGTTTAAAAAAACAAATTTGCACAACAATGACGTCAATTTGATCAGCAATCAGATGAGTGTCACAATTTCATACGTTATTGAACAACGGAATACGAAACTATGCTGCTGGCATTATTTGTTAGAAACTTTTTATTTTATTTTACGTCTTTTGTTTTAACGATTGTGTAAATAAAATCGTTCAAACCAAATCGATAAATCAATTAAGTGAAACGGTTGAAATACGAGCGTCAGTCATCTCAGTTTAAAAAAAATAAATATTTAAAACAGTTTCGGTTCTACTAGGCAGACGGAAAGTAATTTCCACCACCGTCACACAGAAGAGCTCTTTTTCAAGGGAGGCCACTTGGGCACGACATCTGACGAAGGGGGTCGAAAAATAGGAAGGAACTGTGAGATTTCATCGAGGGGGGTCAACTAACGAGTCGTAGTACCCCTGGATCACGTGTGGTAGAATAGCTACAACCTAGATATGTTTTTATTTTCTAGTCATTTTGGATAACTTGGGTCAAAGTTCAAACTCCCAACTGTGTTCTTACCGCCTAATAAAACATCTATATATATAATTCTCTTCTGGTAGACGCTAAAAAACAAGCTGTAAGCGCGCCTTGCAGTCCCCCCTCTTCTTCACTAGGCATAAATCAACCTCCCCCACCCCCTCATGGTCTGGTGAGCTGTGGTTCACGCTAAATGTTTACAATCATAGAGCCGGGTTTAGTGACTCCTATTAGGGGCAGATAATTTAGTTTGAAACTGTTTTAAACTTAGGGGAGGTAATTAAGAGGAGGCTGCTTTCACGGGGGGGGGGGGTAGGGGTTGGGGGAAATGAGGGTGGGGGGTAGGGTAGGGGTTGGGGGAAATGAGGGTGGGGGGAGGGGGGGGGGGGTTATCGTCATTAACGACCAACTGATAGTATTATAAAGCAAATATTTTCAGTGGCAGCATTGGTACTGTCGAATTCACAAATTATGAATTACTGAAAAGTAGAAAATAAAACAACTAAATAGTGGCGTATGATACGCCGCGGGTCGGCTCGTATTTTATATCTTAGATCAGATTTCATAGAGCAATATTGTAAAACATAAGTTTCAGTGAAATCAATTACAAAATTAATTTGAAAATTCAAATTCCAAGAGTTGCTAAATGAACAATTTATAATACATGCGTAGATAGCAGCAGATAGTAGTTTTATTTTTTGCCTAAAATTGCATTCATAGCAAACCAATAATCAAACTTTACTAAAATCACACTTAACTAATTAAATCATACGTTTTGGACACAGTTCTAAAACAAAGTAGTCTAGAATCAGAATATATTTCTTTGAAAACATTAAATGGTTCTCACAAAAATGGAAATGAATACAAACCGATGCGTCTTAACTGGCAAAATATCAGTCATTACGTCACAGTTGTGTCACAACACAGCACACCTGAGACATCACACACGTGTTGGGCACAACACCACAACACACCCACACACCACACACACACTACACGCACACACTATACACACCACACGCAAACACACAAATACACCAATCGTCGATCAACAACCCGACCTACCCCAAAAATCCAATCACAGCCTTTCATGTCGGCACTAGCCACCAGACAGTCCTGCCTGTCCGCACACCACTTGAGCCACACGACCGCCCCCGGCCCTACTCCCAGCATTCAACAATATGGGGGGACGACCGAACCCAGTGTGGGTGAGTACGAATAGCAATCACCACAACGCCATTCTCTAACCCTTCCTTCGCGTTTGGTCTATGAATATATTTTTTCTTCTTCAAAGAACGACAACTCATTTCCGGAGAATTGTCCGCCCCTGCTGATTGTTAAACGATTTGTTGTTGGGGGTTATTCATCTTGTCAA